AATAGACAAAAAAAAAATTTTTTTTTAAATATTTTATTTTGTTTAATTTGATTGGTTGACCCGAATTTTATCAGGTCAGGTCATAAGGTTGACCCGACCTGATGTTGACCTGAAAATTTATCTATCTGACCTGGATTTTTCAGGTCAGGTCGGGTCGAGTCACAGGTTGACCTGATCTGATTCAGAACTCTAAATGTGATGATTAAAAAATTAATGAAAAATTTTATAATCAAATATCATAATTTTATTCTACTCTATATCATTTGTAAACAAATAGATAAGTAGAATATTTCAATAAGATTCTAAAGGAGTCATTAGTAAAGCTTATTAAAGAATAAACTGAATAGGACTTATATATCGCTTCTGTATTATTTGTTTATTATACAACCTAATAGATATCTACAAAAATGTTACGCTTTTTGCTGACTTATGAAAGAAAAGCCAAGTTACCTTAGATGATCATATAGATTAACAAGATAAATTTGATCAACAGAATTTGTTAAATTATAGAAAAATTATCTAAAATTAGAGAAGAAGTAAAATAAACAATAATCGTTATGAAAAATAAACAAAAATAGCCCATGATAAATAAATGGCTAAGCTGAAGTCATTTAATATTAGACAAAAAGTTTTGTATTATGATACTACTAAAATCAATGAATTTTCAGGAAAATTAGAATCAAATAGAAAGAATCATATAGGATTCATGAAGATTTAATTAATAGATTATACAAATTAAGGGAAATAGATAGATAATTACTAGCCAAACCTGTAAATAATAATCTCTTAAAGAATAATTTAATTGACAATTATAAGAATTTCATGTAGTGATTGACAATAATTTTAATATTTAAGAAGTAGCAAAAATATTCAAAGTCTATATTTTTGAAAATTTTGGAAAACATTAATTAAAGAAATTTATGATGATTTAATACATCTTGAACCAACACAAGTGAAATTATGATTAAAATCTTATAATAAATCAGATGATCATGTATAAAGATGAAAAATATTTAAAGATATTACTGATGAATAAAGATGGTTCCTATAATTATTTTTAAAATTTGCAACTATTTATGAATTTTTATATTAAAATAAATTTACAAAGAGTTGCAACCAAGTTGCAACTCAAATTGCAACTTACTGAGTTGCAACTTCTTAATTATGGTATCCATCTTTATTGATGAGTAAAGACTATAAAAAATCGAATTAGAATGCTTATTTACACATATTTTTTTAGGGAACTTTTGAATGAATTAAATGCCTTTGAATACAAAAAAACCAAATTTATAATGAATATGTACCAGTATAAAGTATCTAAAAAATCCTTTATCATTTTTAGATAAATTGGAATAAATAATTATTAAGGACTAAAGTATTAACTATAACAAAAGTCTAAAAACTATCAAGACACAGATTTTTAATTTGATTTCAAAGGCAAAATTATTTCACATAACATTCAAAATTCAAATGAAAAGAGAATTATCAATATCAGAAATCAACCTTACTATACTAATCATTAGTGACCTATAGAATGATAATGTAATAAGCCTATCAAATATTGTATTAAATGATTAACAATAAGACTTCTGATTTCTCTAATCCTATAGATCTGTCTGATAAATCTAATGTTTATAATTTTACTTATTTTATTATTTTTATTATATGTGTTATATTTATTATATTACTTATATTTACTATATTTTATATACTTATTATATCTTATATATTAGCAGTTATAGTTACAAATTTAGTTAGTTTATAGTATAGTAATAAGTTAGCTGTAGCAAATTAACTTTATATAATAGAATAGCTTTTTGCTCAAGTTGTAAATTAATTTAATTGTTAGTTTAAATTAAATTGTTAGTTTAATAACTTAATTGCAAGTTTTAAGTAATAAAGGAATCAAATTTAAAATATAATTACTTTTTCCTTCTACATATCAATCATCTAAGGTTTGATCATGAACTACTACATTAACTTGCTTTTAAATTTGTCAATTAGAATAAATAAATTCTCTAAGTTTCTCCTAAATTTCTAAATCTTTAAGTTTATAAAGTTAAGCGAAACAATTTCAAGGTATTTCAAATACTTATAGAATGTGAGATTTCTTAAGGTTATAAAAAAATATTGGTAATATAGAAAATTGGTCTTATTTTTCAAGTTTTATAAGACTACCCAATTATATCAAAAATAAATACTATCTTTATAAAATCAAAAAGAAATAAAAAACTTAATAGATTTTTATAAGCATTATGAATAGTAAATATTTATTGAAATATTTTATTTTTAAATTTTATATTAATAAAAAATTTAATATTATATTCATAATTTTTAATTATTATTATTAGTTTTTTATCTTTTAACTAAGTCAATTTATTAGATTTTTATATAAATAAAATTTTTAATTTTACTAGTAATTGTAATATGTTACAAACATATTTTATAGAAAATTGTTATGTTATTCAATATGAACCAGTATTTTAATAATATTAGCAATATATAGTAAATAATAGAATATATATTATTATTTATATTTTTAAAAGAATACAAAGAACATTTGGTTTATACAAATCAAAATTATGATAAAGTATTTTAATGTTTTTTGAAACTAATAATTCAGAGATTAAATAAATAAAAAAATCACTTTTCTGTAACAGAAAATATTGTAGGAATGCAATTAAATACTAGGAAATGTTTTTAGAAACTGCTGTTAAGTCTAGAACACAATATAATGAAAGAGACCAATCACATATTAACTTAAATTTTGAACAGGCAGATAGATAAGCATTTGTGTTACTCTTCTAGAATATATATAGTTCTTCATTTTATTTTAGACTAATAAGTTTTTTTTTATTTATCAATAATAGAATAATATTAGTTAATTTTATATATTTAGGATTTAAAATTAATGAAATAAAATTTAGCTATTTATCAACTTCAAATGAATATATAATTGGATTAAAATGAATATAAAGAAATAAAGATTAGAATCAAATTAATTATATTGTTATGGTTAGTATTTTTATTTATTAATTTATAGTTATTTTATTAATTTTAAATATAAATCTTTGGAAGTTGATAAGTGGACTCATATACCAAATGTAATATAAGAGTTTGTTAAACAAACATTTTATGGTTTTATTAATTATTATCTTATTTACAAGTTTATAGGTCAAAAAAAAGTTAGCAAATACCAAATAGACAAATAAAGTTAATAAATGGGAGGTTTGCTAGGAAAATGGATTCTAAGAGATTTTTAAATTTTATTGTATTTTAATTTGATATTAAATTAATATGCAATCAAAATGAAATTTTAGTTAAAAATTTCTCAAACCTCCCATATGGGGCATCATCTTTTATAGGTGATGATTACCACAATTGCTTTAGAATAGTGGGACGATAAATAAATAATTAAAAACTGATAAAATGTAGTCCAAAATTTATATAAAATATTAATTGAAATGGTGCCGAATATCACATGAAATCTGATAAATTTGTCGAACGATCCTTTTTCATAGGGTAGATGAAGAAAAAATGAAGACTTATTTGAAATAATGAATTAGGTGAAACCTTTTTAGCACAAGAAAAGTTTTTTCGATCTCTATCTTTATTTTGAATTCTATAAATAAATATATTTAATATATTTATAATTAGAATAAATGTAGGGATCGCGGAGTGTGATTTTTCTAAATACTGCTTTATATATAAATTAAATTATATTATTAAATATATCATACGAAATTTTTCATGCATCGCCATCGCCTTTTTAATAAAATATTATTATTTTTCGCATATTTTAATTGTCAATTGATGCTTTGAGGCTTTGATCATGATTTGTATTTCTCATCACTCAAATCATGATGGCACATAGTATATATATACAGTACATACAAAAAAAAAAAAATATTGTTTTTCTCCAAAAAAAACTTTTCATCAAAAATATTCGAACCAATTTATTTTTTCCATAACTTTCACTAGCTTTCATCCATATGTCTACTTTTTCTTTAACAACTAATTCGAAGCTTAACGACAAAGAGAAAAAAAGTATGTACACACACACGACTACATTAAATCACTATTTATTCTCAGTTATTACCCTTTGTCTACAGGAAGGAAGATATTTAAGATACCCAAATTTTTGAAGTCCATCGGAAAGAGAGGTTCAGGTTTTTGTCATCCAGAGTCATTAAATGAACTATTTCATTCTCAATAAACGCTTAATGATACAGCTTCCAACCCGCCTGAGGCACTAAATTCGACTACGACTGAAATTTCTAATCCACCTGAGACAATTGAGTCCCTTCGCAAATATGAAAATAAATCAGGACAAGCGCAGAAGTTTCTGGGTTAGGCTCAAATTTTCTCTGAATAATGTTCAAGTAATATATATATTGCAGTGCTTGGATATTTTTTCTAATTAATGCATTTGTAGATCGTGTGGGTCAAGACTTCAGGTGGCCTGCTTCAATGAATGAGGTCGACAGAGGCACGGCTTTCTTTTATTTGACTGACGAATCTGCCCTGGAATTTGATGACGAAACAGGATTCAACCTTATCTTCTTCTATAACAATATCGATAAAGGAACATTTGATGAGCATAAGAATGACTGGGTGTTGGTGTATAAACAAGAAGTGAAGAAATACGGGACATCAGAATATACGAGCAAAGAATTAGTTGACCTCGAAGACGAAATGCCTGGCGCAATATATTTACCAGTTGATGATAATATTGCGAAATCTCCACCAGCAAGAACAGTGTCTGCTCATCGCGCTAATCAGGAACACATGGTCTGAAATATTGGTCTTTGTTGCAAATCATACCAATCAGTGCATATCAATCAGTGCCATATCCGTACCATTTCTAGTGCTGAAAAATAAATATGTATTTTATTTTTTACTTATATTTACAATAAAGGTTAGATTAATGGTTAGAAGATTAGGAACCACAAAAACCGTTACACCCGAGCTTAATTTTAATGACCCCGCCGAAAGTGGTAAACTTTATAAGACTGTAATTGATTCAGGTGCACAAGAAACGACCCTTCCTTACCATGTCCGTAGTGTGCTTGGAAAAACGGGATGGCAAGTTAAAAGAGTCCAAGCAAACGGATACGGATACCCATCTTGTGTTTTTTATGCATCCACAACATTTGAAATTGCTGTCGGAGATGATAACGGATGGAGTAAGTGGGTGAATACAAATACACTCAGAGTTTGGCAGACAAAACCCGGTGGTCATGTAGACAGTTCTCTTGTTGGGACTGATGCTCTAGATCAGTTTTACTTCATACACGATCCAAATCAAGGATATAAATTTTTAAGGGAAACTGACGAGGTTGCTTTAACAAATTTCATGGCTAGGCTTCCCTAAATTTCTTATATCTAGTATATGTCCCCTGCTGCGGTTCATTTATCGTCTTTTCAATTACCTTATTAGCTAGATCATAGATCTACTATTTTGGGAACTTATAATCCATAAAACACGAACATTTTAGATGATACACAATCAATAAGAAAAAGAAAAAATTGTTAAAAAAAAATATTTTTTTAATAACTAGTGTAATAAGATGATCTAATTATTAAAGAGTACTTTTACGCTAAATTATTAATTAATTATTGCATATTAATAATTCGAATCAATGAAACATTTGGAAACCAAAAGACGATTCGATTTTCTAATCCGATATATATTTGGCCCATCAACTGACGATCTATTCATTTTTTTTTTACTCATACGTATCCTGTGCTTCGTTAACTTGGCGTCTCAAAATCCATACATTCCATACACTGAAGACTTTGGTTAAATCTATTGCGCGTTGGAACAAGTGAGGATTTCGATTTCCTGATTTCCTGAGAGATAACGTTATTTTGAAGCTCATCAAAAAATTTCTGTGGCTGATCATAAACTTAATTCGTGATTCACCGATCAATGACATAAAATACTTAGTGTAATGTGGGGCAAATTTTTGTCGATCATTGATTAATTCCATTTACTTTATACGCAATTTCAGTTTTCGAAGTACCATAACTACGTGCCTCAACTAAAATAGTTACTTGATGACTTTGTCCTATTGTTTCAAAAGTTTTTGTAGTGGGCAAACTCAGATTGTTGCCTTTAACATATAGCTCCTTCTCATAATTCCGATTTGTA